ACAAACAGATGTGTCAAAATTGGTACCTGACAGTAAACTCGCATGAAAATATGGCCAAATTTCTTATGAAGGTGAGCCAATATCAAATTGTTGCCGATTCAGTTGCAGAACGCAAACTGTTGGATACGAGATTCCGGGGTTTCAGTGCGAGGTAAAATGGCAATAGAATGTTTTTGTGGGTTTACTTACAAGGGAATGTGATTGAATTCAGCAGGGGCTGTATGATAAGTGTCGGTAGCTGAGGACTGACTTACAACGAGAAGTGCTGAAGAACATTTTAAAAAGTTTGTAAAGATTTGACAAAAAGTGCTGTTTCTTTCCTTCTGTTGCTTCTTTTACATTTATCCACACTTATTTAAAAACTCATATTTCCTTCACGGAAAAATTTAAATAAAAAACAAAAATTTTTAAACATAATTTTTGAGCACAGACAGAAGGCCATTGTTCTTTAGTCGATTTTTTAAGTTATTTTGTTGACATTGACAGTGAACATTTTTTCTGGATTATTGTTCCTCCTCATTGACAATAGCTCCGACCCACATCATTGTCAATGATTTGCATATCATTCTTGCATAAGGTTCTGTTTTTTTTTCCATGTTTTGATCGGATCATCTGATCTTCCGAGTCACTATAAATTGAAGCTGAAATTCAGCCCACAATCGACACTCGACTTCCTTCTCGAGATCCGCTCTCCTAAAGGTTCGCGTGCTTTTTTTATCATTCCTAGGGATTTTCCTAGGATGCTTACTTTCTTAGGGTGGAGTATATAAAGTGGTAACATAGAGCTCGAAATAGAAGGGACTGACATAAGTAGTATTTCATGCACGGCTACTTTTAAATAAGATCAAAGCATCGCACAAACTGTAGCCCTTTGGACCTGTCGGACAACAACCATTCATAAAGTAGCCCTTGCAAATTAGTGGTACCCTGTTAAGTCAACATGTTGAGGAAAAGCTACAAATAACTACCACTCTTTGCTCTCAAGCCGCCGAAAATTCAGGAATTAAATAAAGCTTTCTTACCAAACAAGACTAAATTGAATCAGAAAGTGATAGGCGCCAAACTTATCATGAATTTTTGTTGCCTGGTATGTCTGGCAGTCTGTCATGCAGGTTTCTTCTTTATGAAAGAGTTAGAAGTCGAAACTCCCTTCTTATTCGCTTCCTATAATAAGCAGGCGTCCGAAAACAACCTGAGTGGTAGCAAGTGCCAACAAAAATCATCGGCTGGAAGGGCTGTCAGTGGCTCCCTCTTTCTAGCGCAGTCTGCTAGCTGTAGGGAACAAGTATTTTTAGGAGACCTTTCAAATCGAATTAACAAGTAATTTTTCAAATAATTAATTGGTATTTACATATCGAAGAGGTGCAAATATCACAAAAGTGTTAGAAGAGCCTGTAGCAAAAAACAGAAATTACACGCTCGGTAGGAAACAGCACTATTCATTTTACAGCAGATTTTTACAGTTTACCAAAGGGTACTAAACATTTTTATATAAGCGTCTAAAATCCGCTCTTTGTTGTTAAGCATAAAAGCTTTTGGCTATATCAGTTTTGCCTAATTGCTACAGATACCTAAAATCGTCATTTTTTATGAAAACAGAGGAAGTGAAAAATTGTAACAAAAGGCTATTTTTTCAGGGTTGAAGCGCCTAAAATGCTGCGCTTCATTATCTTTTTGGTTCTCACAGCAAGCTTTCAGCCCGTATCTGAAGCGTAAGTTCGATTCTCCAGCAGAAAACGGCTCCTCCAACTAAAAACACGAACAATGATTTAGAAGCACTGCTTCCTTTACAAGCTAACCTTTCCACCGCATTGCCAGCCTCCTCTTCTCCTCTCTGTTCTTTTGTATAAAATTTAATGATTTTAACGCAGAAATAGAATAGTGATAAAATACAGTGATTGAACAAGGCGTCTATACTGGCTTTAACTCGCGCTTCAGACAAGAGTTCCATTGCGCACTCCTGGGGCATAAATGCAGAAACAAGTCTAACAAAAATTTAGCTATTACACACTTTTGGGCATCATCTGCCTCAAATACTTTCTTCAAGACAGTACAAGCTGCGCACTTTCTTCCTTTGCGGCATCAACAACGATTTAATCAATACTTCTGTTCCATTGATCACCTCTTTTTTTCATCACCGCGATTCTTCCAGCGGTCTCTGATACAACTGGCACTTTCTCAAGTCCTTCATTTTGCTCATCTCTAATCTAAAAAACATCAAGGTCACGTACAAGCTAATCTTTCCACCGCATTGCCAGCCTTCTCTCCTCCTCCCTGTTCTTTTGTATGAAATTAAATGATTTTAACGCAGAAATAAAATTAAATTAACCAATATTTATTTTTTAACAGATGCTTACAAAAAACCTAACCCAAAATAAAAAATATTCGAAGAATTCTTGGTCATTTTGAGACACATAAAGCAAATAAGCAGACATACAAAAAAAACCATTGCATTTTCAGCGGACTCCTTGAGGCGCATGCAGATTATGCGCTTAATTTGCTACGCTTCGGTCATCCAAATGGATCAGTAGTGGTATCTCCGTTTTCGATTGCGCAAGCATTTGCAATGATCTATGCTGTCGCAGAAGATCTCATCAAGCTGGAGATGACCGACGTGTTTGCCAGAGGTGGCATTTTGAAAAACAAAATTTACTATCGACCTTGAAGTTTGTACCCAAAATTCACTCCGAAAATTCGACAGCAATAATGGATGATAGCCTAAGCTCAAAAGTTTTCTGCTTCTACCCAAACATACTGCTCCGTTTGTGCTTACGGGCAAGAAAAGAAATATTATAATTTGTTTATCGGTACATGTATCACGTTTCTTGATCTTTCTTATGTTTAGTTTCCAGTTGCTTAGTAAATAAAGGGAGAAACTGTAAATCTTATCCAAGAAACAAGCTGTGAAGTATTTTGAAAAGATCAAGACTGAAACAGAAATGTATATGACGAATATTTAGTTTGGCTGAGTTTGAAAAACAAGATAAAGCGAATGACGACAGACATAACATAATCTAGCACGAAAAAGGAATAATATTAGAAGTAGAAAGAGAATTGGTATTAACAATAACAGTGCAATAGAATAAATATCATCAAAGCTTCTGCTCTGTCTGCTAAAGCTGTTAGAAAAGAAGGTTCAGTGTGATTCGACACAGCGCAGATAACATTACCATAAAAGCCCAAACAACAACAGACCCGCCAGTGCGATCATGCTTTTTTGCGTAAATCTTGTTGTTGCTTACATTTTAACATATGCACTCAGGTTGGCTGTGGTGTGTCCAACTTTTATGCCTTTTATTTTATGTCTTCCTGCAAAAAAAATGTAGACATGACTGCGTGGAACTGTGATTGCTAGTTTTGCACCTAAATTCAAGCTGATTTTATGATACAAAGTACAAATCGGTAATTTCTTGGTTTTATTCGACTGAGTAATGCAAATCAAATAACCTGCGCTTTTTTTCTCGAAATAGATATTTTCAACGACAGTCTTCGCAACATCCCGGGAATTAACTTCAGTAAAACCTTAGTAAGAAACTGAATAAACAATCACCATCTCAGGCTCATTTTCTACGAAAGGAAATTTTCGGCAACAATTCGAAAAATTCATAATAGAATTTTATACTACGAATATAACACATTGTTTTTATATTTAGAGATATTCATGCGCTGCTTCAGGTCAAACGCCGGAGGATTTCGAGCAGTATATGCACAACCTTACTAATGAAACTGCACAGAACAAAACTCGAAGCTACACAATGGAGGTTGCTAATCGTCTTTACATACAGCAAGAACTGAGATTAAAATACGCATTTGTAGCGGCTGTGAAGAAGTACTACGTCGGACAAATGAAACGTATTGACTTTGAAGCAAATCCTGATGCTATCGCGCAGGTATTTATTTACTTGTGAAGGTTGCATTAGCTGTTTTATCACCACTATTATCTGGAGAGTTGGCGGAAACTGGATATAAATGCTTCATACAGTTTGTAATGGGCTCGATTCCGCCAAAAATAACTAATCTTATGATTCATTCATCCGTTTAGATGGCAAACTGATACTGTCGTATGTCAGGAAACAAACCACCGTCAGCTCTATTTGTAAGCAGCTTGTAGTCGATCCAATAGCAGGGTGCAGGTTGGCGGGGAGGAAAACGGCGAATGTAGCTAGCGGT